AAATATATTTAAAAAAATCAAAACTTTTTTAAATTTTTTTCAAAATTTATATACTTAATTTATGCAACAAAATATTTAAAACTATTAATTTTCATTATCGATTTTAGTTTTTATTTAATTATTTTTAATATAAACAAATAAACCAAATAAATACATGACTTATTTGTATAAATAGACAATAAATTTGAAGTTTAATTTAAATTTTAAAAAATAATATTTAATAAATTTAAAATTTAAAACCTACAAATTTTTTTGGCTTTTTTACAACAAAAATTTAAAAACTGAACGAAATTTTTAATAAGTCAACAATCGGAAAATTAATTGAAAAAAATAATGGTATCATTTACATTCCAACCAGAAACCTCACATGGCACATTTTCCACGTGCTTAATTTTTATAGCATATGTTGATGACTTAAGGTCATGTTTGTTGGGGACCTTTCACCCCATTAAAATTGAAATAAACTTGTAAAAGTTAAATTAGATACTAAAGATTGAAAAGAAAAAGTAAATGAGAAGATGCCAAGCAGATGAAGAGCACCACATAAAATAATTGGTCATGCTTTCTTGTTTCGTACACAAAAGACCATAAAGTTGTACCATTTATGGGCCAATACACCATTATTTATTTATTTATTTATTTTTATAAGAAAAATTTGATGATAGATAAATTATTTAATCTTTTAAATAAATAAAATGTGTCATATTTGATAGTTTAAGATAAATAATTATAAGTCATACATTTGATATGATCTCAATAAATAATCACTGATAAAACTCGAACTTAAATTTTTTTATCAAAAAAAATAATTTTAATTAATTGAATCAATCACTTATTTATGTTATTTATTTAATTTTGAAAGATAAGTTTAAATAATCCTCCTCCTTTTCTTAAAAAAAAAATTTCAAGAAAAATCAAACCAACTCCAAGTCCACTAATTCTAATTTTTGTGATTAAATTGTTCACCATAATCATTACTAATCTCAAAATATAAAACCCTTATTGGTCAAGTTGGACAAAGAACAACCTTTTTTTTTTAATTTACTCACAAAATATTTTTTAAAAAATCAAGACTTAATTTAATCGGTTCCTATAATTATTTTATAAAATTAAATTTAATATTTAATATTTCTAATTTTTTATTAAAAAATATGATTTTTTAAAATATATTAGCAATATGTCATTGTCAGCAAAGGCAGTAACATGCAATTGATTATGGAAACATCTTATTCTTTTCTTTAGTTTCTTAGTTAACTTTTCCATATTAACTAATGAAATTCTCGCCGCCCTATGCATCGTGTAAACATTGAAAATTTTTGGTGGGCGCCGGCTTGACCTCCACTTTTGTTGGGTAATCGTAGATTAGGAAATCGCCATTTAATTTAAATTACTCCAATATTAAAAAATAAAATGATATGATTTTGGCAAGGTTTACTTATAAAAATGCATTTTATTTGGAAGAATTTATAATTTTTTTTTAAATTTTGATGTGAATAATTCAATTGTTTCAATTGTACCCAAAAACCTCCTATTTAATAAGATATTTATTTTCTTTTTTAAAGCGTTTATGAATAATTTATTGCTATTCTATTTACTAGTTTAATTTAGTATTGCTATTGCATTAAAAAAATATTAAAAATATGTTTAAAAAATATGATTAAAAATTATAAGTGTTTAATATTCGTGTAAAAAAATATTATAAGTAACTAAAATATTAAAAGGCATATTCATAAAAAATAAAATATTAAAAATATATGGATAAATAATGATTTTAATTTTAAATGTATTTCTCATCTTGAAACTCCTCTTGAAAAATTTTTTTATTTGAATTGACAAATTAAATTTTTAAATTGAAAAGTCTTTTTTTTTTATTGTTTCGCATTGATATCGAGTTAAAAACAACTTTTGAATATCAAAATTATTTTCAACAATACATAAAATATTATTTTTTTAATAACAAAAAGACTTTTAATTTGTCAATGCCCAAATAGAGGCGGTTACCACTTCTCAAAGTAATTAAAAGAGTAATCAAAATCAAAAGTGCTCAAATTAAAGGTTTAATCTAATAATTCATTTACCTTTTTTAAAATTGAATTATCGTAAATTTGAAATTCGATTCTTAATACGTAAAACTTTTTTCCAATGCCCCCTAAGCCTTAAGCATCTTTCATAAAAAAAAAAAAAAGTTTTAATGAGATATTAGGTTCAGTTACTGGCTTATATGCTTATAATTTTAGGGTTAAATTTACTTAAAATTGCTTGGTGTGATTCATGCATGTTAAGTAATGGCAGCCCATGAGCTTTGCCAAGAAAACGTGGGGGAAAAAGAAATATAATTCTTAGTCTGACAGTTTCACTTCTGGGTTTTTCCAAAAGGCTTTTGATTTATTCAAAAATATATCAAAGTACAGTAAATTAAATTAGCAAGAAAAGTCATCCTCCACGAGTAACAGAGGCTTGAAAAGGAAGTATGAAAAAAAAAAAGTTATATTTTTCAAGAAAAAAAACAGTTTATAATCGATATCATAAATTAAAGTAAAATAATTTTATTCGATTTATTTGATTTTGATATTAAGTAATTTAAAAAATAATTTATTTGATTAATTCAGTCAAATATTAACTTTTAAAATTAATAATCAAATTAATAGAATAAATTTAGTTTTAAATATATATTTATAATATATATAATATTTAAAAATCACATATAATATATAATGTCTATAATATATAATATAAATAAAAAAATTAAGTAATAATATAAATTATATATTTTTTAATAATTAAAATCAATCAAATCAATCAAATTCACCAATCTAAATTGATTTTAATTATTTTGATTAATCATTTTAATTCAATTTGATTTGATTGATTATTTCAAATTATTTTGATTAGTTCAAGTTCTGAATTTTTAAAATAAAAGCAAATGCTCTCATCTATTATAAAGTTTTGGGTTACTCACTTTAATTTGCTATGTACGTCAATCAATACACATAAGAAATTATTTAGTTTCTTTTTTTTTTTGAAAGAATTTTGATCCAACACGGCATTAAAAATTCATGCACATTAAATGTGAATCCCCACTCCCTCTAAAATTCCATCACGTTGACCTGCATGATGATCCAAATAGTTTCCCCCGCAACGGCAATAGCAATGCCACAACAAAACTCAAGTTTTCTTATATGGTTTTCAAAAAAGACTTGCTTCTTTTTTTATATGATTTTTGTTAAATTTGATGATTTTATATATTTATATTGTATAAAATATTAAAATTTATTTATTTATATTATATTTTATATAAAAATTATATATCAATATGAAAATATAAAATATATTTTTTTAATTTCGTTAAATTTATATATATATTTATTATTAAAATTTTAACACATATCATTTTCATATTTTATTTTTATATTATATTTGTATCATATTCGTATCGTATTTGTTCGTCTCTCTCTTCTAGCTTTATGGTTTATATTTTTTTTTCTTATCTTAAAATAGTTTGAATTGATAGCGAAGTTTGATTTTGATTTTTGGATTTTTTCTTGAATCATAAAAAAAGAAAGAGGAAATTATAAAGACTTCTCTTTGTCATATTATCAAATGTGTTCGGGTATTTCAAAGTATTCTCATTATTACTTAGTATTACTTGGACTTTGATTTTATAATTGTTAGAGCTTGAATATTACGATTGATCATTTCCTCTCAGGTTAAAATGTTAGAATAATTAATCATTAAATCTGAAAAATAACAAGTTTAAAATTTATAGTACTTAATATGAAATGTTTATTATTGTTTTGTTGAAATGAAATGTTTATTAATGTTTTGTTGATGTAAGAATGATCGAACTATATTTTATACGTTGAATTATTGTTTTGAAAATCTAACGATCTCTCGTGATTTTATTCTTCAAAAAAAAGAATTTTCATAAAGAAAAGGTAAATACTTAAAAATCATAATCCAATTATTTTACAAAAAATGTCGCAATTTAAGTGATAAAAAATGAGTTACAAATATTAAAATTTAAATTTCAAACTTACTGAATTTCACTTATAAAAATTTAACTGTATGAATAATTGATCTAAACTCTGAATTCATGATAGTTTAATTTTTGTTTATCAACTATGTAAGATCTGTATCTCTCAACATTTATAATATAGAAAAGTGAAAAACTTATGATTGAATTACAACTCACTCCTCTCAATGAAGAAGGGATTTTAGTTGATGTTTGGGATCACTTTTTCCTCCTCTATAGTCTTGAAAGAAGATGTATTTAAATAGATAGTTTTCAAAAAGTGTGAGAAGAAGAGAAGCATAGGTTTGTCTTGATACTTGTCCAAACCCATATTATCATGTAAAACTATGTTAATTGCATGGGAAAAGAGAAGCTTAATTGTTTTTGTTTTTTCTAATAGTCTTAGGATTTTTCAATGGAACCATAAGTTTCGGTTTTTGATTCATTTGATCCGCTAGCTTTGACAAACAGAAATGTAGCCCATGGACCATGCAAGTTTGTAGTTACTATTAAAAGCAAGGTTTGGCAGAGAATATTGGACCCCTATCTCTCCTTTTAAAGGAGAGAAAGAGAAGGACTAGCCATTGTATAAATTTAGCAATATAGAGACCAAATGATTCACACTCTTGTGATACCCCAATTTTAAATTAAAATATTTTGAGAATATACAATTATACATAAGTAGAGATTCAAATACATACTTATAAAGTATTTTTTATGAAATAAAATCATAAAATTTTTGAATTAAAATAGATAATACTTCATATGTTTGATATGAATCTTCACAACTCTCCTCTTCCCATCACCTTTAAGAATCAGCCTCCTACATCCATACACCTCCCATGGCTCATTTGGAGACTTGTTTTTCACCTCATAAGCCTTGTATCCTCATGTTTGTTTCAACTTAATTAAAAAAAAAAAAGATGGAAAAAAATGGAACAACTATGAACTACTCTCTTTCTTTAGATTTGAGGAAGATTAATTTGAATATTGTTCTTTGAGCGAGAGGTTATACTAGAATCATACCAATTATTTAGTCAAATGTTCAGATGAAATAAAAATAATGAATTACTTGAACAAACGATTATGTATAAGAATTGTATACCCGTCATTGAATCAAATATTCAATTGCAACAAAACAATGGACTACTTTTAAGTAACTAGCTAAGATCTATGACCCAAACTCGCCAAATTTGGATTTTTTTTCGTTTCTAGTGATTATTTTATGCAATTCAAAGCTTTTTCGTGATGCTAATGTTGTTTCAGACAAGATGGTTAGGACGCGGAGGCCTTTTCAGGCCGTTTTGGGTTCAATTATTAGGTGTAACAGGAGTATAAAGGGAATGATATAGAGTTTGGGAGATTTTGATTGATTGTTATAAGAAAATAGGTTTTTGGGATGATGCTGTTTATGTTTTTCTGGGTGCTAAAGAAGGTGGTTTTTTGCCTGGTTTAGTTGTAATAATTTTCTAGGTGATTTGGTTAAGTTATATAAGTTGGAAATGATTTGGAAGGTTTTCAATGGGGTATGCAGAGGAATTGAGTTACCTTTCGATTTCTATCCATTCGTGTAAGCACAATGGATCTAAAAGTTTAATATTTTATCAACAGATCACTCTTTTGATTTAGCTAAGCTAACCCAATCATCAAATAAAATTTGCATATATATTAAGATAAAGAAGAAATAAACAGCAAAGCATAAAAAAGATAAGCTACCTTAGTACAATTGACAGCACCTAAAGAAAGTACTAAGATGGGGGTAGGAGGAATTACATACACTTGAAGAAAGCTATGAATTATAATGCAGTTTCACATTGGCAAGCCAAACTTTTCACTTGTTTACTAAGTTCAGCACTAACCTTTTCAAGTAATAGGCGACTGGTCGTCTATTTCTTCCATTTGGGGGTCATTGCAGGCTCTTTTGGGTTCGGATCCACTATACTATCTGTTGCTGTCTGTTAAGAGTGCCAAAACCTCATTATCATCGATGCCTGATGCTGATGCAAGCTGAAGAGCAGTGTTACCTTCTCCATCTACAGCATGTGGATCTGCTCCCCTGCAATTGGGGAACTGTGAGTTGCCTTCACGGCGCAGAGAAAAGATAACTTGTTTAAACAAAACTATGAATATATATATATCTGTACAAATGATGGGAAAAGAGAACCAAAAAAGGCAGAAAAACATGTTTCATTCTGAAACTTTTCACCATGGCCTTGCAGTGTATGCATTAACAGGCTTTTTCATAACCTACAATCAAATTCTTTTCCTTTATTCCATTTTTTGGGAGGAGAGCGGATCTTATCAATGCATATTTTCCATTAAAAAGCAAACAAAAAATGACAATTTTCACTTAGCTTACTGAGAAGGTGAATTGTTATCTATAAAACTCAAACATGGGAATCTCAACTGTATGTATGATGTAACAAAGCCAGGAAGAAGTCTTGATGACAAATAAACTAAAAATTTCGCTGATTGAGGTAGCATTTTTTATGCCCTTGCTATCATAAATATGTGAAATTCCATATCTCATGAAATAATATCCAGATCCTTATGAGCTCCAGAAAAGCTTTAAACCAATATTTTCTTAAGAGAATCTACTGCAGTGTCATGTTCACCATGCTGAAAGCAATAATACTGAAGAAAAAGAAAATTGTAAAGAAAAAGTTCTGCCTGTTCTGAGCATAATAAAGAGCAGGATCCCCTAGACGCAAATAGAGCAAAAGGAAATTCAGAAAAAGAAAAATCACCTTGTAAGCAGCAATTTTGCTATTGCAGATTTCCTGCCAACCAATGAAAGATGAAGTGGCGCCCGACCTCTTGAATCAGTAGCATTTGTGTTTGCACCATACTGAAGGAGCAGCTCCACCATGCCAATGTCAGTGGTTAGGCAGGCAAGATGAAGTAAAGAACAGCGGTCAGAACACTCCTCTTCGATCTGATTTTCACTTTTATTTAATGAGTTCAAATATCTTGAGGACTGGTCCAGAGAGTCACCTGCAAAGCAATCAAAGTTGTGATGAGAAATTTTCTTAGTCTTGCCATTACACTAATCTGAACAGAGGTGAGGATGTACAATATGATGCTTGCCCATGGATAGCATTGACATCTACTCCGGAGCAAACAATGTGACGGTATACAGCTTTATGGTCATTAGCACGAACACTTTCCCACACGTCTTCTGCCATTGAAAGGAGATGCTGATTGTCCTTTATCTTAGGAACAAAAGCTTTCTCTGCATACTGAAATAATCAGACCGTCAGCTCTATATCCAGACGAAAAGATTATTAAACCTATTACCACAGGCATGGAGTTGCCCAGCAAATGTATTGTTTTAAAACCATTGCACAAGCAAATCTATTGACAGCTTGAACATTAAGTTATGAAGCATATTAAATTTTATCAGACAATTATACATCCTAGTATGTGTAAACAATAGAATATGTAATTGAAGTATTGATGCATATGAACAAAATTTCAGGCTGCAATCAGACTTTCAGGGCAAGATAAAGGCTAGAAAAGAAAAAGGAAACAGAATCCAAACGTGCAGAAGAAAAAGGAAATAGAAAAAGGACAATGAAATAAAGCACTGATTCAAACATTGAACAGAACATAAAGAAACAGAGTATCATTTTAAATAACAAAACAAAGTGACCTTGAAACTGCATGGTTAGCTAGCCCTACCACCCAAGAGCAAGCATTGCTTTTTCCCTAAATTTCCAGTCTAAGAAATCAATTTGTCTAGCAGGATACCTAAATTCACTGCCTAGTTCCTATGTATCTGTGTCTCAAATTGAATTATACAGAGCTCTCAATGACTTTTTAATTCTATCACACGAGTGCTTTTATCTCCTCAAGAAGTTAGTCATTGTCCTGGATACAGTTCTCTTAGTTTTCAGAAAAGAAATGAAGAGTGAAAAGGTTACTTCCAGGTCTCAACTTTCCTCTTCCTTTGGCAAGCACTGTGCTATGATCTTGGCTCTTTCATCTTCTTCATCTCATCTACCCTTACTATCTGCTATAAGCCACGTATTTTCCAAAGGCAAGGAAATATTGATATGCTCAAGTGTCTTCAAATGCCAATTGGGACAATAACAGGAACTACTGGTCTCACAAGTGAGCCTAGCAGTCAATGTTTGGTTGAAATTACCTAGCAGCAACCTCTAAAAAGGTGGTAAATTTTGAAAATTGACATCCAAAACATGTAAAAAAGGGCAATTATATTTATATTTATATTTAATCTTGTAATCTGTATATTTATATTTGTATCTCTAGAATTAAGTATTTGTATCCCTAGAATTAAGGACAAAAAATTAGGATAGACAATCCCTCAATTATAGGATCAGTTTTTTAGGAAGATTTAGTTTCCTAGTTTAATCCCTAGTTAGTTGTATATAAACCTAAGGTGCTTGTATAATTCTTTATGAGCGGTTTTTCAATATACATTCAGTTTACTCTTAGTTTTTCACATAGTTTTATTTCTTGGTTTTTCCACAGCATTCTCATTTGAGAAAAGAAAAGAACGAAAAATAGGGGGAAGATACTAAATTATTTGGGGCAATACCTTTGCATGAATGAACAACTCCTTCACTGAAATTGGGTCATTATGACTAGGTTTCATTGTGAGAAGCTGCTTATATCCATCAGACATCAAAGAACTACACAACAAGAAGTAACAACTTATCAGCATAGAAACAGTTTTCCAATCAGATCAAAATATGTTTTACTTACCCCACGGGCATGGCAGTTCTTGTATGTCCTGAGTGCAACAACTCCTCCCAGATTGAGTTTGCATAGATATTGCCCAGTGATTGAAATAAAGCCAAGACAGATGGTTCCCACACTTTAACATCAAGTGTCAGTGATCTTACCTGAGTAAAAGGTTATAGTGAAGCTGCATGAATAGGGAATCAGAGGGAGGGGAAAAAGATCTTACAAACAAAAACAAAGATCTTCAGCTATTTAGATCCTTCTACATCCTAGACAAATTGTTGATAATAAATAAGCTCTTCTGTAAGGTTTGTGTCTCACATGTTGAAAGGTCCAATTACTCAACCAAAAGTTTTTTTAAAACACATTAAGGGAAATGCCATTATCATGTCATAGAAAGACATAAGGTTCCCTGAACACATATATATGACATACCTTTGATATATGTACACCAAGATTGCGATGAATTCCGGAACATTCAATGCATATAAGTACACCAAGGTTTAAAGATGCCCAGTCTGGCTCAGGTGCACCACAGTCAGCACATTTATCATTCCCAGCTACTCTTCTTAAGATATCAATTGGCTTTTCACTCTGCGCGCGATATTCTTGGTGCCGCAAACTTCTAGATATATCTAAATGGCTTCCAGAGGAGAGATTCTTTGATGTCTGTTCCCCCATTGCTGTCTGATAAGCATCAGCGGAATCTGCTAGTGAACTACCATCACTAACAGAGCAATTATCACCACTTCCAAAGGGGTAAGCAGAGAGACACTGACATAAACGTTGTATGGTCATTTACATAGATAAAGAATTTAGAGGATATTTAGTGAGGAACACCTGAAGAATGCCTCCTTTTCCCAATTCAAGAAAATTAAACAAATGTATATCTATTCTATTTTATGGTTGAGGAAAAAGAAATAAGGCATAATTAGGTGCTTTTTCCCCTATTTTCTTCAGAAGAAAATTCCATCAATTACCTTCTCAGGTGTTTGGGAACTCAATAACAAAGCAATTACTCCAGTTATTTTTTCAATCCAATCCTTTTGGTCTAGTGCATTCTCTGCCTGCATTGCCAAACAAATATTTTTTAGAATCTGCTAAATAATTAAGCATTTTCAAACTTACTAACCATAAAACATTTGCAAGAAAAAAGTCAGAGTCACAAATGAAAGCATCCATTATGTTTTCACTGTGAAATTGAATTATTAACAAATACCTGCAATGTATAGATTTTTGTTGGTGAGATAATTCTGAAACAGAACCTTAAATCTGACTGATCTGCGTCAACTTTAATTGTTGATGTCAACAAGTTTACAGTGTGACGTGCAATGGGTTTTTCATCATGTACGCCACCATGGTAATGAGAAGAAAGCCATCGACTCAGCAGCCCAGGACCACTTTCAGAGCAACCACTCCTTTGTATAGCAGACTGACTTCCAGCTGCCTAAATGAGTAACATTTATTATGGGGAAAAAAGAAAGAGAACATTTACAGTCCATAGTTTTAACCATCTTCCATCTAGTGACTTACAGAAGACCAGGCAAATGTTTTACGATAGTAGTACAGCATCCCTCGACTGTCAAGAACAAAAAACCTTCTCTTCCAGTCTCCCCTCAAGTTTGAGGAACGTTTTGAAAGATAACCTTGTCGTATGGTTTGAACCTAAGTAAAGGTAATATTAGCTATGGATATGCAAAGAAGCTCCTTAGGAATAAAAAGTTATCAAAATTCAAACTTAGGTAAGATTCTCTAAGAGAAGTATGTAAAAGTTGATTAACAGATCAGATATTACCTTTCCCTTTGCAGCAGATTGCATAACTACCTCAATAACTTTTTGGGAACCCCTTGCAAAAGGTCTCATAGCATCTGCTGAAGGAGGATCCAAATAGCCAGTTAAGGACAGCTTACTGTCTCGATCGATCTGCCTGATATGTTCCTGCATTCTTTCACTTAGAGATGCCTGCTCATAGTTGGAACATTCCCTAGACTGTTGTGCATAGGCCAAGACCTGCAACCCAGAAAAACTAGTTTTTGACATTATCCTGATTAAGAGATATCAAAAGTTCAAAGCTGGAAGAACAGAACTTCTGAGGAAAACTTTATTGGCAGAAAACTTGAGAAAAAATATATATTTCCTCAGGAAAGAAAATCATTCTAAGTTTCCCAATGAATTTCTTGCTTATGGGAACTTTTATGACAGGAGGAGGACCTCATAAATCAAGAAAGGAACTGGATTCTGATGTAGAAAAGGAGGGACAAGAAATACTAATGCTCTCGAGGCAAAATTTTTCCTTTTATTAGTGAAGAAAAAGTTTGTCATAGAAATGGTTGGATGAAAGCAACAGTTCTCAAAAAAATGATTCAAGGCTTACCACTTCCATCTATTTGGCTTGACCAGAACTATTATGCTGGTGATTCTCCAGAAGAATAAAAGCATCATGCCGTATATTAAATTACAACAGGCACCTTGGTTCCAAGTGGCATTAACTAAAAATAGATTAAAATTTTGGAGCATTGTTGAGTATTTCTGTGGACAAGAGTCATTTTTGTTTTTTTGTTTTCTTTTTGCAGTAAAGCAGATTAGAAAGGGATCTAAACTGGGCTCTTATCATACTTTTTTCTTAATTCGAAATCAGTCTCACTCTAGCAGGTAGCTAGCAACGACAAATCTTATATTAGCTTCATTAATGTGTCATAAGGGACCTGAGGACGAATCCCATTTCCACTTACCGAAGACAAGGATATTTAGGTGGCATAAGCTCCTGTATTCACTCCTAGTCCTAACATGTAGAAGAATCTAAAGCAACTGTAGATAAAATCCTCATGGTAGACCAGCTTAATTTAGCGTTATAGTCCAAAACAGTTTGTTATGCATTATCATATATTATCTTCTCAAGATTAGGAAGATTGTTTTGGTTACATAACCTCCGGTCACTCAAAGACACTGGCAATGATAATTTTTCTTACTTCATTTAATGATATATGCAAAAGCTGGACAACAAGAATTTCGACCCTATGCTTTGAGGGCTCTAATCTTTTGCACCCCTTGTCACCTTTTGCTATGAATTGGAGAGAAGAAGAAAGAGGGTAAAATAAATGAAAGATTGGGCTTTCTCTGCGGGCTACAAAACAACTAACCTTCTTCCCTAGAATGGGTTTCTTGGTGGGTTCCTTCAAGGATGCAACTTGTGAGGAAAAGCAATGTACAAAAAGTTATAGCATGTCTCATCTACTTTTTTCTAGTTTCAAAGGAGTTGGCAACTAGTTTTAGCAGCTTCGTTCCATTTCTTTTCATTTTTTAAAGCAATATCAACTGGAGGAAAGAAATCTCCACACTTTTATATGATAAAAGGTATAATTTATCTTTCATTTCGTCTTATAAGAGGAAAAGTTACTATGACTAACCTGGTTAATAAAAGGTTCCATCTGATGTAAGAGTTCATATCCCTGCACAGAACAAGGGTCCAGAAGTTGAACATACTAAGAAGATACCTGCAAGAAAAAGATGAGTTGTCATCATATGACATGTCCCATACCTGTTTGAAGAATCGAAGCTGAGCATCCATCATCCCACTAACAGCCTCCAAAAATTCAAACCTCTTTTTGGCTTCAAACTTGGATAGAGCACTAACCTGGACATAGCAGAACATGCATATTTGCAGTTTCCAGAAGTTTCCAGTAAACAAATGCATATAAAATTGAAAACTCATTTGTTAATAAATATAACTTACCAGATTGAAACGGGCTTGCTCAAATGAGGTTCTCACAGTATGCAATTCCTGGAATGTCTCTCTACCAAATTAGATTTTGATAGATAATGGTTAACCATGACAACATAGTTCATCAATTTATGCATTTGTAAGAATAATTCTTTGGGTCAAGAGAAAGTTAATATTGTATATACCTCCTCCAAGGCTGCAGCTACATCCATTCTAGTGCTTTTCCTTAAAGAAAGAAACTTCTCTCGTGTCTGTGTGGCAAAATGGGAAATAGCACCAATTGCATCATTAAGAATATACCAGCTAGAATGTCATAGAGCTGCTAACTTTACAAAAAAATAGTCCACTAAAATCAGTTCTCAAATTCATAATAACTAGTTGTTTCAATCATAAATTAATTCTTATGAGTGCATTACTTATAAGAATATAAAGTGATTACGATCAAATGGTAAGAAAAATCAATTTAGGGTCTACTTGATTGTTGCTTTAGCTACTTACAATTTGTTCCATCAAAGTTGTTAAAAAGAAATGATGAAAAGGTAAAACCATCATCGGTAAAAAAATTTGAAAAATTAAAATGTAACACACTTTTCAACATGATTATTCCATATTAAAAATATAATCCATTTTGATATTCACAAACCTTCATTTTTTTTTTTAAATTTATAATTCTTTAAAATATCATTGGTTATTTTTATCAAAACATGCCTTTTGCCTTATGCTTTCAGAAACCAAAAGCAATTAGCAAATGAAACAACAGAACAGAGGCTTTACGATCATGTCTTCCCATGTTGAAGGACTTTAACTCTGTATAAGAATTTAGAATCAAATATAACACAAACATTGCATGGGCCCTGCTTCCTAGTGTTACCATTCTCCTTCATGGTTTTTGAGTGCAACATCAATACTCAACATCAGGGAAATTTTAGAAATTGTGTTCTGAAATGAGCAGTAACCAACCAAAATATGGTTGGTATCTTCTATTTGCAACAAGATGCACATATGCTTCAAGGTCCCTTCTAACAATCTTTTATCAATAAATTTAAATTTACAAAATAATCATCATAATGCTTAAAGATTAAAGGCATCCTTATTACTGGAAAATTGAAAATCAAAAAGGAAAAAGAGAAGCATGTTTAACACTTTGATTTGATACTCACCTGATCATATATAAGCGAAGCCTTGTCAAAACGTTTTCGGGCATCCTGAAACATTGGTTCAGCAGTGGGTCAGAAAATATGAGAGAAACCAATTAACATCACCAAGACTGTCATGTATGAGTAAAGAACTCCGATAGAAGCTGGTCACCCCAGCCTGTAACGATCTAGAAGCAGGTGACACCAGTTGTAGAGAGGCAGCAATAAAGAAGATAACCATAGATCTCATCCCTCTAGGTCAAATATGAGAAGGAATAAAAAAATTTATCCACTATGCATGCAGGCCGATAAGACATTAATGACACTGCTGTTCTCAAAAGTACCCTAGGACTTTCCAATAGTACATGTAGGTAAAATGAATGTCATTAAAGTGCCCACAAAATCCTCTTCATTAACTCTCTCCTCTCCAACAGCAAGGAAAAAATGTTCCACTAAAAGCAAAAGTTAGCACTACTCTCTCTCTCTCTCAATAATGTTACATTAAATCATGTGAATGTGAACTAAGAAAAAGAAAAAGGAGAAAGTCTAAACAATATCACTTTCCTGCTTCTTAACAAAAAAAAAAAAAACACTGTAACTTCAGAGCTGAAACTAGTGATAACTAAGAAAAATATCAAGCTATTGTCCGTAAAGTTCAACATCCTTCGTTAAGATGATAGGCACTTGGATGAAGTATCTATCATATGATAAAATTAAAGAGTACCTTGACATCTTGCAGATCAATATTGACAAACTGAAGCAACCTATCATTTAGCATGTGCTCTATCTGAAAAAGAAAATTAGACATGTTAGAAGAGGGAATCAAATTAATTGAAAAAGTTTCACCAATCTAAAACTCTTTTGTTAGGGAGAAACAACTTAGAAGTTTAATGTCAAACAAAATGACCTTTTATTGTAGCAGAAAATCTCAAGCATATTGTTAGAGAATGGCCTACCTTAGAATAATTGAATGTGCTAGAAAGTTTTAATAAAAGTGATGCGTGTCATATAAGGAAATGAAGGGAATACCAGATAAGAATACAAACTACAATTGATAAACAACTTACCAGTTCATTTATGTAAGATCCACACACTACGATCTAATTCTATTAGATTGGTAATTTAAGGTGGAAACAAACTTTGAAAAAAAAATCCAACTTATTAAATCATTAAAATAGTTAGTTAATGCCTTCAATTGAGTCTGAACATTTAGATTTTGAAATTTATGTGTTTCTGGGAGGAGGAGAACCTCATCCTCTTCCCTCCATTGTATCACAGGCTTCCTCTTGGTAGTAATTCTTAAGGTTGGTGATGAGGTGCATAATTAGGACCTGCAGTATCCTTTTGTTTTGTAATTATTCATAATTTACGCTATAATTGCTCAAGACGAAACATGTTCAATAACTACAAATTTTCATAGAAAATACTAATCATACACAGAATTATGTCAAATCGCTAAATTCAATAATCAAAGCCCTACATAAAATATATCTAAAATCACAAAAGTCACTACCTGTGAACGAAGAACTTCCTTGTATGTACCAATTTCTCTCAAAGCAATGGTGAATTTTGTCATGACCGGGCCTGAGGAAACAGTATAAATTCCATCAGTAAGAACAGCAGTAATATGTGAGCGACTTATTTCATTTCCAGACCTTACAAACCAACAAGTTTTATATACCAACCATGACAGACAGAGGGTTATAGATCAGCGTGATCAATTTAAGTAAAAACCTTAATGCCAAAATTACATAATAAATGCATAAAGAACTAAGTAAAGAAAAAAAAAGGACAAACAAGATTATTATCTTTCAAGAAAAGAAACAAAATGTTTCTGTTTAAGTATCTCCTCTTAAGTATCAATTTTATCACAAAATAAGAAATTCTAATATTTAGCATTGATTTCTGCTCAAACAATTTTTGTAAAGGCTTTGCCTTTCTCAAGTGATAAGGACACATAACATGAGGAAGACATGAAAAGGGACCAAAAGTAAATGAAAAAATAAATGTGATAATCCATTTTAACACCATGCAATATTTAAATGGACATAATCTTGGCAGCTCTAAATTACAGCAAATAAAAATAAGCATTTTCAAGGTATCATTCAAACGGGGTACAGGATGTTAGAATGTGTACCTCCAAAAGCAACACAAATAGGATCATTATGCCCCCCTCCAAAAGTTTCAAGGGCATTTACAAAAGCAATGTCACTGTCATATCCCTCTCCCAGCCCTTCTCTGGTATTTAGAAGGAATCAACCATGTGAGATCATTCAACAATATGAGGCCTTATAAGGGAAGTAATATTAATTTGAGAAACAATAACATTTGGGCAGCCGGATAACAGTTCATATTTGAAATTGTTGTGCACTTACCACTTGTTGGACAAACAAAAAAACAGCTAACCACAGTTTCTCTTACCAGTTAAAAGATATGAGCGTTGTTTGTTAGTTCTTGTCTAACTCAGAAGCACAACATTTGTAATTAAGTAATAAGACTTCATCTCCGCACAGCCCCATTCCCAAGGCTTCTCTAGTAGCCTGAGGTCTAAGAAGGCTTGAATGGAGCCAGAAAAGAGATCCCCCTCACCGCATAGGGAAGGAAAAGCATATCAATCCATTGTTTGAGAAACCATTTAAAAATTATGAATTAGAACTTATAAGCAGCTTCTACCTCCATGAGTTACTGCTTTTCTTCTTTCAGTTTTTTTTGTTTTCAGGGGCTTCTGTCTTCTTCTTTATCAAAGTAGAACTAATATTAGATATCGACAGCTAAATAACACCACAAAATAACACGAATAAAAGAGATTGCTAGTTAATGAGCAGTGTTTTCTCTTCAAAGTTAATCATGTGAAATGCTAGAGGAAATGGGTGTATGAAAACTACTGAAACAAAAACCAAAATGTAAACCTACGTGTATTTTCGACATCCTTTGTAAAACTTTAAACATCTTCCTCGCATTGACTCGGCATTCTCTTCTGAGCATTGTATCTGTTTCACCAAGAATACAACAATTACTTGCGGTATCCAACACAAACTAACCTAAACATAATGCAAAAAATACTAACTAACAATAATAACAAAATTCATCTTAAAACATTAAATAAACAAGTACAATTACACTAATTGAACCTAGGGATATAAATGATACATCAATATTCGCAAGCTATTCGGGCTCAACTTGGATAAAATTCAAATTCGGTTTGATCATTGTTAAGTCAAGCTTGAGCAGCTCCATTTATTGAGCAAGCCGAGTCCAAACTTCCTAATATCTGACTTGAGTAACTCGCAAAGTTAATTGAATTTTTATATTTTAATATATAATTTTATTATTTTAATTAAAAAATTACTATCTTACATATATATATGAATTTGAATTTGAACATAAATAATCGAGAATCGAGTTCACTTTTCTATTTGATATGACATTCAAAAGGTCTAAAGTAGCAAACCATTTTCCTATCCCATGCTACAGCCTCTTGTCCTTTGTATTAAAAAAAAAAAAACCGAATCCGGCAACAAAAGATCCCATTTAAAGCAGAAAAAGCAAACGAAGTTTTCCAAAAAAAAAAAAAAAATGCTATCGAAATGTAAAAAGAACTATAAAAAAGGATTAAACGGCTAAAATTACTCTAAGATTTATTACTTCCAAAAGCCGATTAGCGAAGCTTGAATGCATCTGGAAATATATAAAGAGATCATGATATAATATAACATCCAAAAACACCTAATTTTTCGCCTAATTTTTAACTACGGATGCGATCTAAACGAAAGTTTCGTGTTTATTCAAAATCAATGACGGCATATAATTGCATTATTGAACTATTACTTAAGGAAAAACGCATCATTTCCAAACAAAAAAAGACGAACCTCTTGCCGAAACATCGGCGTATCTTCAAGTTTGGAGAAATGCATTTTTGGAGAAACACAGAATTTCACTCGATCTTCTTCGTTTTCCGCGACGAAAGACAAGTCCGATTTTTTTTTTTAATTTTTTGTGTTTTGCGCTTGGGAGATTTGAGAAAATGGCGCAAACGAAAGAGGATAATAATATATTTTTTCTTTTTAATTTCCAACTTTAAATGGTGAAAAAGAGATTAGCATTGTTGTTAGAACATCCCCTGCGAACTTTCATGGCTGTCACTAATTTGTTTTTAATTTTTTAAAAAGGAAAATAATAAAAATAAACCCGCCGTTTCTGCTTCTCTCTAAAGTAATATCCTTTTGCTTTTAAAAAAATTTCAAAATCCAAAAGCATCAGATTTAAAATTCAATTAATTTTTAATTATTGATGTCTTCTTTTAATAAAAGAGTAAATTACAAAATGGTATTACTATAATTCAATTATTTTATATATTAAGGATAAAGTTTTAAAATTTTAAAGAAGAATTAAAAATTAAAGCATGTTAAGTTTTTTTTAGTTTAATAAATATATTTTATTCTATTAGTTAATTCTTTTAATTTCGTTTGTAAAAGTTTCATCATTTTTTTTTTAATTTTTTTTATTAATTACAAAAGTTATCAATAAAAAACAGTAGTAACATTTTTTTTTTAATTTACATTGTATTTTAAATTTTTTTTTTTTTATTAATTCAAAACTCAAATTATGTTATGCATAAATGATCTGAATGTCACAGTGTCTAATGCTTAAATTTTGACTCGTAATAAAACATAAATCAAATATATAAAATAAAAAAATTTTGGATAAAATATTTCATGTCTTTTAATTTTATTGATAAAATTTAAAATTGTTGATAATAATGTATAGTACAAATTTTTATTTATAGATAGGCGATTAATTTAATTAATATGGAGATTCCTCACATTTCACTTCCCATTTATAAAAATGACATTAAAATAACCATTTAACCGCCCAAAAATTAAGATTATGGAAAACTTTCCATACTTTCAATTAATTTCATTCCCATAAATTTTTCTTCTGATTTCCCAACCTCTAATATTATGGAAGTTTAAAAACTTTCTTAAACTAATCACTCAAATATAGCAAAGGGAAGGTCAAAGCTTTGTCTATAAATAATAATATCCCCTGTTAATCCTATGTTCCCAACCTTCTTGTGTTTGGCTCTGTTTTTCTCTTTCAAAATTCTCACCAAAAATTTTGTTTTTGAAGTCAGTTCAAGTCAATGGAGCATGGCCAAGCAGTTTCGGTAATTTCATAATCTCATTTGTTTCCGTATTCCATAGATTTATGTTCACAAACTTAATAATTTATGTCATTGTATAGTATAAAATATTATATTTATATCATATTTATATATAAATTACATCTCATAATTTATATTAATATAAAAATATAAAATATAATTTTTTGATTTTAATAAATTTACTTATAATTTTTTCAAATTTTAAATTATATTATTTTTATATTTTTTATTCATTTTATTTTATATCATCGTATCATATTTTAAATTATCGTATTAACAGATCATGAAATATTTTAGTACTCTGTTTCAAAAATCGCATTTTACTTGGTTCTTTTGTAGATTTGTACTTTGAAGGTGAACATCAACTTTTGCACTATGTGTCAATTGAAAGCAAAGAAGAAGCTTGAAAAAAAAATCAATGCTAATTCCTTCATTTCTGTATCTAATCATCTATGAAACTTGTTTTTTTTTTTTTTTGGCTGAAATCTCTGTTCTACAACTAGGAGTGGATTCTGTCGTCTGTGATTCCAAAGGAGTGATGATAGTTTCAGGGAAAGTTAACCCCATGACTATGGTAAAGAAGATTGAAAAATGGGCCAAAAAAGCTGAGCTTTTGTCCTTCCATAAGTCCCCCGTGCAAGATGTTCAAGCCACTGGTATTGATAAATCTGATCATGGGTCACATGCCAAAATGAACAATGACTGTTGTTGTCGTTGTGTTGCTATATCTGATTCTGATAATGATTGCGAGGTGAAGACGAAATGGAGCAACCAACATCACTTGCCAACATCCTGATCTCACCACCAAGAACCAAATTAACCCAAAGAGTGAAGGCAAAAAAGGGTTTCTTGGGTTGTTTTGTAACAAGGGTGGAGGAGCAAAACAGAAGTTGGATGGAGTGACCATGTTAGGGAAATCATCAATGCTGGATGGAACATCCAAATGGCAATTTCCAAGTACACCTATGCCTGAATATGGTGGTCCTAGGCCATACTATCGACCCTTTGAGCCTTATCCTCCGCCAGTCAATGGAAGTCCGTCAGCACCTCTATATCATCCTTTTGGGCTTATGCGCCCACCGCCTCCACCACTGGTGCCTCCTCCATACGGTTTTTTCAATTCCAGGCCACCACCAAAGGTTAACCCTATGATCCACTATACCAGTTATGCAGACAATTATAGTCGGTGGTGAACTGCCTTGCCATTTGGATTGAGGGACACGTTTATCTGCCAAGGACTTATTATTTGTCTGTCCTTTGCTTTAGAGACAGTGTAGCCTGCTCATCTACAGTATATAACAAATTTTATTCTTTGTTTTGTCATAGTTTCAACTTTCTTTGGATTTCATGGCTAATAAAGATGTGCAAATAAAAAACAAAGGACTTCTTGCCATTGAATTCTCAATAAAACAATCTCTAAAACAATCTCAACCATGGGAAATTGAAATCACATTTACACAACAGCCGGTCCAAAATTTTTGAAAAGCTCAAATATATCATGACTATGTAATTCCCAAAAATTTGCAGTTACGAATTACTGGCCTCTAAATATAAAGTCAAAGGCCAACGCATGCCAAAACCTTGTCTGTAACTCAACGCCAAAGCCTACTTACGAAACCCTTTTGTCTTTCTTCATCCGGTTCTCTAGAAATGGGAAATCAATGGTATTATAGGCCAGGTCTAAAACAATAGGGTTACGAGGTACTGACCGGAAGGCGTTCTATAAGCGGAACAGCTTTCGAATTTGAATCACCGATTGCAGACTCGTAGAGATCAAGTTTCTCGAGAAGGTATTTTTCCACCTGAACGGATCAAAAGCATCGCATAAAACAATGTAATAAAATAAGGATCAGGAGATGTATCTCTGTCTCCGACGCATGTACAAGTTTTTTAATAAAAGAAAAAATAATGCATCAAGGAATATTTGCAAAATTGGAAATATGGCCCTTTTAAGTCGAAAGCTCATGTAAATGGGAATTTTGTAAATGTAATGTCAAGTTGAAAATTACTTGCATGCTTGATCTACAATGATACATGGAAGAATCCAATAGTTGGTTTCATAAAACTAAAGTACATAAACAGTTAAAATGGTGTAAAAATAACTAGTTTCACACCTGGTGTAACATTATCCTGGCTACGTATTTATGTGAACATGCGTGACAGCCATATATAATGTATTCCAAGAAATGGAAGAGTAAAAATGGTACCTTCTTGTCAGCTCCACTTAATGATATAAAAGATATCTTCTTTGAAAGATTCTCCGGAGCCTTCTCCTCCTCAATAATTCCAGTTGCATGCTCTATGCAACTGTAAGATCTGCATTCATCGTATAATGTCTTCAACGCTTTGATCATCACCTGTCATGGATAAAAAGATACAGATTAAAATTTTAAACATGATTATATTGATCAGATGTCTGAACCCACTGTTAAGAGACTGCTAAAGAAATGACTTTATTAAGGAGTTCATTAACATGGAGAAAACATTTCAGTGTTAAGCAGGTAATTTGCATACGGAAAGCATACATGCATTCAGCAGTAGTCAAAATAACGCAAAAAATCTACTAAAGGTAGTGGGGAAGGCAAACCACTAAATGAATGTAGAAACCTGATCACTATTACTATAAGTTTGAAACTTCTATAGGGCATTCTCAGCAAGAGAGTGAGCACGGCAGTATAGAGCATATGCTTCTGTTCTCTTTCCAGCTAAACTGTATGACCTTGCCAAATAGAAGCACCTGCAAAGAATTCCAGAGGTCCATGTATCAATTTCAAAGGGCACCGGTCTTGTAATAAAACACAAAATCAATCTGAAAAAAAATGAATTGCTACATAAGTAGACTCAATATTTGATCATTTGAAAAGCAGGAAATTATCAATTCTATTTCACTCCTACCAACACCACCAAAGAGAAGAAAAAAGCCCTTCTGATAAAGAAGGGTATTACAGAATAATGCAGAAGGTCATCTCATCCAGAGGCCAACTATGCGAACAACTTTGTAAACATTCAAAATGTAACAAAAAGTTGAGAATACCAGTCAAAGGACATTCCCTTTTTCTTTGTAAAAAGGAAAAAGGATATTAACCTTGAATAGGTTCATGCAAATATTTAAGCATATAACGTGCTAGACTTTGATTGTCAGAGTTTTGACAGCGGATAACCAAGCTAAACAACAAAAGTGTAGCCACAAAATGAAACTCCCCTTCAAGCTTCCCTCCCAACCCTACCCCTTCCTCCCCCCCCCCCACCCCAAAAGAAAAAAAAGGTAGACATTATAGAGATCATTAGAAATTAAACCTTTCAGCTCGGAAGGCCAAATTTTTAAGTTGACACTCTTCAGCAAATGTCACTTCTTCAGGTTTTCTATCTCTTCCAGAACTAACTAAATCAGATAGATCAGCTGTATTCTGCCAAATATAGCACCCATTTAGCAGAGTAATAATTAATACAACAATACAAGCTTCTTTTCTGGGAGGGAAGGGATGCCAAAAACAGATAATCCTCAATAGAATCCTCACCTGTAATAAAGGTCATATAACTGAACAAACTCCTCTGGCTTGGTCACTCTCTCATTTTTGTCCTCACGACGCCTAGTAAGTTTGCTCTTTGCAATGCTAACTAACAACTGGTTGCACTCAATTGTTCGTTGTCCTAGTACAGCACTAGCAGCCTTATCGAGACCATTTAAGTCATCTTTCACATTTTCAGCATTACCTGCATTGACCTAGAGTGTATGCTAAATCATCAACATCAGACTCAAAGAACTGAAATTGGAAGTCAATAATTAAAAGTAATTGAAAATTTTAAAATTCTAACAAATAGTACTAAGTGAAAAGAAACGACAGCAAAACGGTCAATTAACACTCCATAGCAAGTCACTGCAGATACAGCTCCTTGCTTCATGATATATTGTAAAAACTTTATCAAAAGTTACTAGTCTTT